ACTAGTGATTTTTGTTTTATACAGCATGTCTTGACTAAAAAAACAATATAATATTGATATTAATATATTAAATAATTAAATTATGAGTTGATAAGTAGAATTTAAAACAATTTTTTTTTTTAATTTTAATATATTTACCTAGAGCTAATATATTTATTTAACGTAAAATTTAGATTATTGACAGCAGCTAGAAATGGGTGTCTAACATTAATGCTTCTCATGTAATAAAATACAGTGCTCAAACTATCTCCTCGTGAAGCTTCCAATAGAGCCAATTGGTTGTAAGGTTGTCCACTATTAGGACTCAATTGAATGGCATGTCTGTATAAAAGTAAATTATTTGAATTAAAWTAATATACATTTTCTAAGCTAAATACACATCAAACTTATTTGAATGTCAATTTATTATTGATTAAGTTTAATATTTTTATCCTAATTAATCTTATTCAAAAAAATATATTATTTTAGTGGCATGTCATGCATTATTAAGTATATTTTATGATTATCTTATACTGTGCCACTAAGTTAAGTTTCCTATAAAAAACAAGATTTATAATTTAGTTTYTATCAATTTTTTAATAAGACTGATACCTAATAAGTAATAAGTTTGTTTGTTTTTAATATTACTAAGTAATATCTATACCTACTCTATTTAGAATTAAAAGATAACAAGCGGTGAATAAAAACTAGTAGATAGTGTCAGATTTCCTCAGCCCCTACCATAAGTACTCGATAGARACAAAAAAGTTATACCACTGGTTCAGAGGTTTGGACCTCAATTGACATAATATCTTCTTTACATAGTAATATTTATATTAGTATAGATGTTACTAGATAAGGATTAATGGAATAAGTGTACACATTTTATAAATAATTATTGTTATAATTCAAAGATGATTTTACAAGGAACTGAGTTAACTGTAACACACTTAAACAAAAAATAGTTTTTTATAGGTACTATTTTAAAATATAACATAATAATTAAATAATAATAGCTAGGGAGATAATTATTTTAATATTTTAGTGATAAAATGTGAACACAGGAGGTTTAATTTAAGTAGATAACAATGTATATAATTTATTTACATTCAAAAGATGTACCTGTAAAATGATTCAGCTTGTCTATTTTGATTACGATAACGAGCAATGTCACCCAGGTGCACCAAACAATATTGACAAATGTAATTGCATGAACTTTTTTGTGGTTTTCGTAAATATGTTGAACCTAAAGACTTATCATCCGTGTCACAAAATCCATACAATTTTCTATGGGAATTAATAATACATAATTAACTAAATTGAGTACCATAAATCATAATTATTACTCATTAGCTAAAAGCTATTACATACTTATGAAATGGCAGATCCAAATCAAATGTCAAGCATATGCTGTGCAAAAGCATAAGATAAAAGCCGTACGCAGACTCAAGGCACGATAAGAACAGTGCATTCCATTCATTGCGTTTGGCATTCTAATAAAAAAGTAAAAATCATTGATAAAAATACATWATACAAGGGAGGGAATTCATAAACTATTAATGTATAGATACATAAGTTTGATTCAGTAAACTTAATTAATTTTTTGAATGGTACCTTTTTGTCTTTGGCGAGTTGTTGCAACTTGTTGATGTTGTTTTTAAATCCATGATTCCATAGGTCTTGTTCAACTTTTTGATCCAATGCATATTCCAAGTCCAAAGTCAATACTTGCTGGTAGATAATCTGAAAATTAGAAATAAATTGTGGTTTAAACAATTGACAAGCAACAGTATAATGTGCATACTCTCAACTGCTGTTGATACGCCAATGTTTCGGGACTGTTTATGTCTTTGGATGTGCATATTTGTTCTTTCAGTTGATCGGCTTTCCTGGAGGAGACAATGCATAGGCAAAATTAATAACTACAACTTTTATTGAGCAGCAATACCCAAATGGGCATTCATACTTTAAGGTTTGGATGGCCGCAATGGACACCATGGTGCAATAGTGTCCCCCCACACATGGAACAGTATGAATGTATTTTTCGTTCAGTTGACGATCTCACTGAGCCGAAGGACGGAAACACCGTAGGGCACCATCAACGACCAATCATCATCATCGGCATTCGTGCATTTGAATACAATAATTGGTATTKTTATTACCTACGAATCGTAAGACATCAGGTTTTATTATCGTTAAAACCCAAAGGATTAGTAGTGTTTCAYACCAATCGTCAAGTGACATACACGAAACACTGTTTCTAGTTACGACTACAAAATACGAGACGAGTGACTAGTGAGTAGTAACTATATCGGTCCATGGCACTCGCGTTATCATTTATTAATTATTATTACACAATCATAGATAATAATCGTGAGGAACGCTCATTTTCGGCGGGACTATCATCATCAAAATAAATACCTACTTTGAGAACACCGGCTGATAAGAGTTGTTTGAACGAATTAAAAAAAAAAWAACGCCTAGGTGGCAAAAAAAGAAATGTGTTAATTTTATGAACTATAAGCTCACTCGGTAGCACGGTTGACTTTTTTTCGAATTCTGTTAATAATGTGGATTTTTCCCGTCATCCGCCGCTGTATAGCGAATGCTCGTTGGGCACACTGTTTCGCGACGACCACAACAACAACAATAACAATAATAGCGCTTCATCGTTGAACATGGCGACCTTGTACAACAACTAGCGTTGTACGTAAATGATTACGAATTAAAAATGATAAGTTGGTTCATAATCTCCGTGTAAGTGATTCTAGCGTTTCAAAACCCCGACTGAAATACGTTTTATTAACGAAATCAACGTGTTTTTTCCGGCAATTACCGTGAATTTTCACTAAATCGGACGCACAGCCAAGAATCACCATTGGAATTGGAAAGTCCAAAATAGATCTGCGGACGGTTGACTGTGGTACTGTTGTAAACGACCACTCGTTGGATTATCAATTCTCCTTGGGTGAGTAAAAGACAACAGAAATAAACTATACGATGGCCAAAACGTATGGGCGTACGTTCAACGTTGTGATGCTCTTTGTGTTTTTTCGCCGTTGCATTGTCGCTCATCGCAGTGATGTCTTTGAAGTTTCTGCGATTTCTGTGACGTTTGAAACTTCATTGGATTTATTCAAAACGGAATTATCATAAAAATCTGCCTTCTATTCAATTATTATTTATTTTAATTTTTAACGACTTTCGACTTTTCGAGTTTTTGACTTGGGGTTGCGACTGTGGTCTGTGAGTAGCGAACCCCAAATTGCCTAAGTGTCAAATTGGCAAAGTAATAATGACGATGTACATGCTTTCTGTTTAGATTGATATTATGAATTATTTTAATATTATAAGGATAATTGAAAAAAAAAAATGAAATGCATTAAATTGCTGTCAGTGAATAGCGATCTACATTGATTGATAAATATTAACAGGCTGTTTAAGAAAAAGCACTTTTCTTAAGAGGAAGTCATACTCACATGTGTTGCCTTTATCCTACAAATACATAACATACCAAATTGTACGTTCTGAATAATTCATTTAATTCTGTTATTTTTAATTTTATAGAATTGATTGATTTATCGAATTTAGAAATAAAAATATCAATCAGAAGACAAGTTTTTTTTTCATAATTCAATTTTTAAGCGGGTTATGAGCATTTTAAAGTTTATAAATAAAAATTATAAGCCATTTATCATTTTAAAATGCTGATAACTTGTCATGATCGAGTGCTAAGCTTGAACGATTCCCATAGATTTGTACTTTGCCACAGAGTTTTTGAATCAATTATCTTAATATTGTGCGTTATAATTTATAACWTGGTTCCAAATATGTTTCCAAAAAACAGTAGGGAGTAGTTTAACTTTGTTATACACTGCAATGTAATATTTGATATTTGTGATTTCAGGTCTGAGCTCTGAAAGTCGAGTTATATACCATAATATAGGAATATAGGATATTCTTTAATTCAGAATATATTTTATTCTTGTTTGATATTTTGATTTATCAAAAATGGTTTGAAAATAATYCACTGTCCTTTTAATGATGTGTTTTAGTTATTATAATATATTATCATAAATGATAAAATTAATGTTTAAGATAACTACTTTTTGTGCTTAAAACCGTGTATATGTGTTTTAGATTATACAGAAAAATAATGAACAAAAAAAGAGATAAATGGGATATCTGTCGCACCTGTGGTAACACAGCAGATGTTGAAATATTTGGCCGTGATGGAGTGACTTTACAGCTAGAAGAAAAAATTAACACCTATCTTCCTATTACAGTTAACTAGAAACCAATTGATTGATTAAATTATATGTTTCAAACCTTGTCTTACCATATTTAAATTATAGGTTTCCAAGAATGATAATCTACCACTCAAATTATGTAATGTGTGCATCAGTCGGTTAGAAAATTGTCATTGCTTGATTGTATCAACTATTGAAATGAATAAAACATTAGAAGAGGTTATGAAAAAAAAACAAATAAAAAATAATTCCTATAATCTTGTAAGCACCTATTTGTTATTCTTTTATATTTAAATAATTTATGTAATTTACATCACTAGATATTAGCTTTTTACTATATTTGTATGTAGAAGTATAATAAATTATATGACATAGTTTTTAAGTGAACCTATCTTTGGTAAGTACTTGGCAATATTTCAGTATTAATATTAAACACATTTTCATGTAGGTACCTAGGAACGGCATGCTAAAAATTATTCTGACGATTTTAAGTTACTATTTACTGTTTATTAAAATATTTGCTCCTATCATTTACCAATTTTTCTACGGTTTGGTGTTTTCAGTACCCAGGGTTGTGCAAGTTATTCATTATATTAAATAATACAATAAGTCAATAGGTACAAATTATAAATTATAATATAAATACGCTAAAATTAATAAATTACATACATTTTACATAATTATCTTTACTTTTGATTTTATTTTCTATTTTATGTGGAAGTACCTACGTGGTTATACTTATACTTACATACATTTTATGAGAACAAAAATTTCAGTTTAGTGATTATCCGTATGACT